TGAAATGGCCTCTACACCTTCTTTGTACAGCAGTGCTGAAAAACTGTCCACTTTGATGTGTACAGCGCTGTGGTGGTTGTAGCACGTGAATCCTGAATCGTACGCGCTACATCTTGAGAGAGACCCATCCTCTCTAAATGGATCTGCTCAGCAGCCAGACCAAAGGTGGTGGCCTATTCTGGGTAACTCCTGATCGCTCCTCCCGCCTGGAGGAGAGCGTCCTCCCTCCACGGCAGATTCCACGAGCGCCCCAATAACAGGTGTCGTAGGACTGGGGACCATGATGCGTTCACGCGCTTGGGACAGAAGAGCTGTCAGTCCCTCCTCCTGAGCTCGGTTCAGAAAACCATGATATCAGAAGGAGTGAGGGAAGTGAAGAAGCATTACGACCACAGGCTGTGAGCAGACGCGTCCACCCCTAGCGGTGGTTCGTCCCATGGGCTCAATGATAACCATAGTTGACAATGAGCGTTCTCTCGTGTTGCAACAGGTCCACAGCCGCTCACAGGATTTCTGCCGCATCTGAGCCATCAGCTCTGGATGGAAGGTCCCCGGTCCCCGTACCGCAGAACCCATCTTTGGACATCACATACATCCCCTGTTCAGAACACAGGAGATGTACACTACTTTGATGGAGAAGAGATTTGGTGTGCCCCACACAGCATCTGTCTCACAATGTGGCACATGGGTTGAGCGCACACACCTCCTGCCGGTTATCTATGTAAAAGTCACTTGCTGTCTGTGTGAATGAGAAACCCTGATGATTCCGCAGTACAGAAGCAAAGTGTTGAATCACATTCAAAAACCTGTGCAACACTCCAAAAACATTTAAATGAGCTGCTGTGTGGAGAACCACAGCGCCCCCACAGCTCATTAAATGTATGTGCCTCTGTGAAGTCTGACATGTGTGACGTAGGTCTGCTGACGGAAAACAGCTGATGTCACTCTGCCGGTTTCACGTGAGTTGCACTGCTGCCATCTGTTTGGAAAAACTGCTCAGCAGCAACAGATGTCCAGATAAAGCAGAATTCTCCTCCCTGCTCTGTGTGGCGACTGCAGAGCACCTCGACGCATTTAATGGAATGTTGTTTCTCACAGTTCAAAATTGACAAATCTAGAATAAATCTCATCTTTCCGGGTCGTTGGGACCCGGGAGTGACGAGAGAGGAACCCTGTGTTTTCCTCTCCTTCTGAGACCCTGGAAATTACATTTTAATCAGGATTTTCTGAGCTTCTGCGAGATGGGACAAGATCTGTTCAGAAATGACAGAAAACGTCACTAGAATTCCTCCGCACTGGGGTTTGAGCTGTACTGCAGCGTGAGTCCTCTGCTAATAACAGTTCGCCTATCCATCTGGAGCGCGCACTCGTTTATAAAGTTATAAAGCGGGCACGCATTTATGCTGTGGGCTCACATGCATGCTGATGTGAGCTGGTGCGCGCTTAAGGAGAAAGAAAAACGCGCGCCCCCGAGCATGCAGGCCGTGTGCAGGCTGCCGATGCTGCGGGACGCAGCTCCTCTGTGCTGTGCTCACGTTGGTGCTGCTGCTCCGCGTAACGCTCGGGGAGTGGGTGCACGAATGAGCCGATGTGCACTGAAGAGTGCTCACATTGGGAAAAATGCGTGCCCCGGAGCATGCGGAACCGGTTAGAGTGCTGCGGGTGCAGCGCTCAAGCTGCGGCTCATATCTGTGCTGCCGCTCCACGTAACGCTCGGGGAGCGGGAGCATACGTGGTGCGTAAAGTCTCCGTGCCTTGAGCCGACGTGCACTGAAGAGTCATGTGTGTGCGCCTTCGTTGACGCGATGTCTTAGGCGAGGATTGTCGCGGGGGCGCACGTTTGACGCTGGTGCAGTCAGGAAGCAGCGCGTGGCGTCAGTTGAGGGCGAGGTTATCACTGGGCTCGGTCTGCAGAACACGTTCATTCTTGGCTGCGAATCACGTGAGCTTTTGAGTGATTCCACAAGCTGCAGTGTTAATTCAGAAAACCTTCTTTGAGGATGAAGAAGCGGAGCCACTGTGAGGCGTGTGAAAACTGTTGACGCTGTGGGAACGCGCGTTTGACACCACTGCGGTGAGACGTGTGTTCACTCAGCTGTGTCGCTCCTGTCGAGAGCGAATGCGTTACTGGGCTCGTGCCGCGATCTCACGTTTACGTTGACGTGAGCGGCGGGCGCCGTATAGGTGAAGGCTGCTAGTGCCGCGGGAGTGCGCGTTGGCACCGCCGGCAGTGATTGAACCAACCTTAAAAGGCCACCGGCTCATTCGAGTGGAGTGTGTGTGACAGAGCCGCTGTCAGGTCATCCGAGCTGACAGACTGGCTAAAAATCACTTCATCATAAAACGATGTTTTATTCCCACATTGTGTCATCTTACACACATCCAACAAACTGACATATGGTCATCTTCCCCTGAGCTCTGTGGTTTGTTGTCCCAAGGGCCCACCTGCTGGCGATCTCCGGGAAAAGTTGAACTTCCAGATGCTGGGGACGTCTGATGGGAAGGGCTGGTGTAGCAGAGCTGGGAAGGTGTTGTGCAGCCGTGGAACATCTTGAAAGTGATCTCTCGTTGATGAGGGCCCTCCAACAAAAAGCTTTCTGCAGCTCGCTCGAGAGAGAGGTGGAGTGACGAGCCAGGAGAACCTCTAAAACCTCGTCCTCCAGCTGCGATGCGGGCCAGCAGACAGCAAAAGAGGTGCACCGGTTGAGGATGATGTCAGTTGCCCTGCAGAAGGAGCGTACGTCTGCTCCCGCCTTTGAACCTGTACGCCAACAGTGTAACGTGTTGTTCGCTGCGGCCAACTGGAAATGCATACTGGTGAGCTCGGTTGGAGAGCGGTGTCACCGTCTGGATTACGCTAACCGGAGGCGCGGCACGCTGGTCCAACTTAGACATCTTGCTCCGAGAAAAGTCTCCATCAGGCTCGGCTCCTGGGGGTCCCAGAAGGACGTCACCGCTGGGAAGGCGAGGCCAGAGTTCAAGATGACAAGCCGGAGTGGAGCCCAGAAACCTTCCCGCTGGATCATCCGAAAACTGGCGGGAAAAGGCGCGGGACGTAAAAAAGGTCCCTTCATGTCAGCCGCCTCCTGGGTTAAGCCGGGCGAACTCCAGAGGGTGCCGTCGGCTGGGAGTGGTGTGATCGCCGATGCGAAACGAGGTGGGATGAGGTGAGCATTCGCTCAGCCCCCCTCCACCGACACTATGCTCTCCAGGAGGGAATGAGCAGCGGGGGCTGCTGCTGACGTCGCCTGTCCCGGAGGAACCATCCGATTCGCTCCGAGGTAGGCGATAAGAGGAAAATTACAAGATGGCGTTGTCCAGCGTGTAGTGACCTGTCACTGAGAAATACTCCTCGGCGCTTACCTTGAAACAAGACTGCTCGTCAGCTTCTCCTCGGGGAGGAGAACTCACCGAGATGACCGGAGGTTGACATGACGGGCCAAGCATTCTTAACAAAGGTTGGTCAACTACACAACTTTCCTTCTTCGTTCTTCAGACAGTGCTATTAGCTCGCTGAAGAAAAATAGGAGCCGATTACCCACTCTTAATGTAATTTATACGTACTGGGTGGGGTACACACAGCAGGTGGGCGTGGACTAAATTTTTCAGTATACTGCTCCGCATAATAGGATAAAACCCACTAAGCGACAGCCTTAAAGGGCGAAGCCTATATGAAATAGAACTGACCCAATTCCTCCGTTGAGTTCCTGCTTTATTTTCCCTTGAACAAATTCCCGAGATAATTAAACTCCTCTACTTAAAGCAAGAAGCCACTCCCAACCCAAAGAGGTTAATCCATCCTTTTACAACTAAGGACCTCGATTTGGAGGTGATGATCCTCATTACAGCAGCTTCAAACGAACCTGCAAACTGCTCAAGTGAGAGCTTGAGATCACTGCACGATGGCCCCACATCACAAGCAAATAACAAAGATGGAATCCTGAGGTCACTGTATCGGACTCCCTCCGCCCCATGTCTGCACCAAGAAATTTTATTGAAAAACATTATGAACAGAATCGGTGACAGCAGGCAGCCCTGGCGAAGTCCAACTCCCACCCGAATGGGGTCCAACATACTGCCGGCAATGAAAACAAAACTCTTCTAACCAGGCAAATCACTGTCAGAAAAACACAATGATAATATTAATGCCATTTTGATATGTCACTTTATCTGTGCTGTGGATTATCCAAGCTGCTGACTTCTTGCCTTTAAGCTGCTGTATTCATACTCATCTGGTCACTACAGACTCATGTTTGGGCTGCTGTTTAATTAATATACTGTACTATTTTACATTATTAGTGTTTAAAGTATGTATTAGATCCTTGACTACATTTCTTTTTATACTTTATTTTTGCTATTTTGGGGTGTAACTGGGACCTTGGGTACATAATTTCATTCCACTTCATGTACCACATGTGATGAGAATGACAATAAAGAACCTTGAACTTGAGCCTTGAAAGACGCCAGATCGAACCGGGGATTGGACCCAAGACCTTTTTGCTGTGAGGCAACAGTGCTAACCACTAAGCCTTTGTGCTGCACAGTGAGTTTTGTTTTGAGTAACTGCAAAGCATTTTGTATTGCATTAGATAAAATGATTAAAATAAATAAAATTACAACAAACATGTAACTAAGATAGGTGGGACCAAGTTTCTACTGCTACCTAAAAATATAACACAGTGTTTTGCAAGTCTCAAGTCTTTATCTTGTATATTAATATTATATATTTATCTTATATATTAATTACTGAATATCCTTGTTGTTATAGCAATACTGGAAGAAAGTGTGTTTATGAGCTAAATTGCAAGGTTATAGTATTTGCTAGGGAGAGACGGTGAGTTTATATAGTTTCCTCTGGTTTGCTCGAAAGTACAGCTAATGTACTGACAAAACATTTTGGGAAGAAGCCATCAGCGTATCGATAGATATTACATCTTACGTCATGACGTACGCGATTCACGCACTTGGTATAAAAACTTGTTTTCTGACGTCAGCGTTCTCTTCCCTGCCTATGCCCTCGTGAGGTGGGCAGTGTAATATTCCTTCTCTTTTCTCCATCAAGAGAATCCAAAACCATCTATCAAAATGGTGAGTTCCTACTCATTTTTGACATAACAATAAATCTTTTGACATAAGAAGATGCCACTGGGGCTAATATTAATGTTGCTGTCCAAGTATTGACAGATTTCTAGACAACTTTTTTTGAGACTGCACGGATCAAAATGGCAACCATTTTGTAATGTACCGCTAGCCCGAGTAGGCCTTCGGGACAGTCTTAAAGCTACTCTGAACCGTTCTAGACGCTTTTTGGTGCATTTGATGAGCTTGGTTTATTTGAGTTGTGGATATAAATGATTAATTTACATTAACGGGTTTACGCTGCGTTTCTGTGGCCTTTTAAATACCACAAACAATCTCCGCTTCTTGTGCTAACATTATCTGTTGTCTTTAGAAAAAAATGTCTCGTTTTAAACGAGCGAGTTGTAGAACCTGAAATAAAACGTCTTCATGTAAATATAACACGATGACAATGTGAATTGTGTAAACTAAATGTACTTTAAAAGTTGTTGGACGTTTAAAAATGAACTTGCCGGTACTGGCTGCGCCAGTGTTAGCATTAGCATAGTTTCAAAGTCTGTACACGTGGCCTGTTTATGCCGTCATATTATGCCGGCTGACAACCGATTAAACATTTTGTTTTGGCTCAGATATGTTGAATAGGTTGTTACATATAACTAGGACACGGAAGTATGACTTGCTAATGTTGATAAATCCGCGATAGAAGGTGCTAAACTGGTTTTGCTCTCAACGTAGACAACAATAACGTCATCTTTGGTCATGGCGGAAACTCAAGGCACAGGGTGGAGCTGCAGCACATTTTGCTTTATCTCATGTCAGCAATGGTCACTGGTGTATACTGCTTCAAACTCCCCTGCAGCTAAACTGCAGACCTTTTCCATTTCCAGTGTTTTAATTTGTTACTCTTGGTGGCTGTTGATGACAAAATGGCTATGTGGGGTGTGCAATTTTTAATTTCATAAAGTTGAAAGGGACAAACTTTTATTTTGACATTTAATTTGGATAATGTACAAACATATTTGATTTTTTTTTTTTCTCATGTTTTTGTATGTTGTGTTTCCTCAGGTGAATTTCACCGTAGACCAGATCCGTGCCATCATGGACAAAAAGGCCAACATCCGTAACATGTCTGTGATTGCGCACGTAGACCATGGAAAGTCGACTCTGACAGACTCCCTGGTGTCCAAGGCTGGCATCATTGCCTCAGCTCGTGCTGGAGAGACGCGTTTCACAGACACGCGTAAAGATGAACAAGAACGTTGCATCACCATCAAGTCTACGTGAGTATTTTGCTGCATTTTAAACCACGCTATGTAACATGTTTTAATTGTTTTGATTTTCTTTACATGAACAAAAAATATATCTCTAAAAGAATTCCCTTTATATGTTTGTGACATTTAATTTGTAACCTGCAGGGCAATCTCCTTGTACTATGAATTGGCTGAAAACGACTTGGCCTTCATCAAGCAGAGCAAGGATGGTGCTGGTTTCTTGATCAACCTGATCGATTCACCAGGGCACGTGGACTTCTCCTCTGAAGTGACTGCTGCTCTCCGTGTTACTGATGGAGCTCTTGTTGTAGTCGACTGCGTGTCTGGTAAGGATTAAACATGACCGGTAATACTGGTTGTTGCATCTTTTCACCTGAATATTTTAGTTCTTTCCCGTAGACATAGGCATACACACAGTTAAAGCTAGGTAGTCTTATTTTTTTATTACACACAGTTAAAGCTAGGTAGTTTTATTTTTTTAAACAAGTGAAGTGTTAAACATATGTTTTTCTGCACTTTGCACAATTCATACCTTACTCGTTAACATTTTGGGGTGTACATCAGTAACTATTGTCTGTTTCAGGGGTCTGTGTGCAGACAGAAACTGTGCTGCGCCAAGCCATCTGTGAGCGCATCAAGCCAGTCCTGATGATGAACAAAATGGACCGTGCCTTGTTGGAGTTGCAGTTGGAGCCCGAGGACCTGTACCAGACTTTCCAGCGTATCGTTGAGTCAGTCAACGTAATCATCTCCACTTATGGTGAGGATGAAACTGGACCAATGGGTAACATCATGGTGAGTAGAAAAACTTATTCTAGATTTTCTATGTGACTGGGAAGTTTGAGACTTGATGTGGATGGGATTCATTTCTGTTCCTTTAAGTTTTTTTTTTATTAGTTTTAAATTAAAAAGATGACTACTAACTACATCTTGATATGGAGTATTGCAAGTTTTTACATTACTAATTGTAATAACTTCACATCCCAGGCTACTGTTATTATTTTTAATATTTGATTAATAAAAAATGCACTAACCATTCTGTATGCCACATTTCCAACTCAAAAATTTGACCAGTGGACTTCTTTCTTTAATTTTTTTTTTTCCTGCAATTTCTAGGTTGATCCAGTCATTGGTACTGTTGGCTTTGGCTCTGGACTCCACGGTTGGGCTTTCACTCTGAAGCAGTTTGCTGAAATGTATGCAGCTAAGTTTGCTGCCAAAGGAAACACCCAGATGACACCAGCTGAGCGCTGCAAAAAGGTGGAAGACATGATGAAGAAGCTGTGGGGTGATAGGTGCGTCTTAAATGTGCTCTTACCTATTGAAATACTCATGATGGTATAAATTGCAGGAGATGTACCAAAGTCCATGCTCAATAATCCAGGTATAATGGAGGAAATGTATACTGGTGTACCCATATTGATTATATTTCACAATTATTTTTCTGTTTTAGGTACTATGATACTGAAAATGGAAAGTTTGTGAAGACCGCTATTGGTGCTGATGGCAAGAAGTTCTCTCGCACCTTCTGCGCTCTTGTTCTGGACCCTATTTTCAAGGTAAAACTGTTTAAAGTAAACGTTGATGGAATGGCATGTTTTGCAAACAAGAAAGTTATGCTTAAAGAAGTCATTGGATCATAGCTTTTGTCCATTGTTTCCTAATCCATTGCTCTATACCTGCAAGTGATGATTTTTGTAATTCTTCACTTTGACCTGACTAACGGTGATGATAAACTTCAACCTGAGCAGGTGCATATTGCACTAAATCATGCTGTGGCTTGTGATAAATTGTATAACACAAAGTAAACTTTCTTTTAGGTGTTTGATGCCATCATGAACTTCAGGAAGGAGGAAGCTGCCAAGCTGATCCAGAAGATGGACATCAAGCTGGATGTTGAGGACAAGGAGAAAGAGGGTAAACCCCTCCTTAAGGCTGTGATGCGCCGCTGGCTGCCTGCTGGAGAAGCCCTTCTGCAGATGATCACCATTCACCTCCCCTCGCCTGTCACTGCCCAGAAGTATCGTTGTGAGCTGCTCTATGAAGGACCTGGAGATGATGAGGCTGCCATGGGTATGCATTCAGTTTACTTTTATGTTTTTATTTAAAGTTTAGATGGGGTCACTTACAAGCATGGCATTAATTGGTGAGATGAATGATTGTGTACAATACATAAATGAAATAATGGATTTTCTTTGGGTCTGACCTCATTATGATGAATTCTAACGTAAATACGTTTTGGCCACCAGGTATCAAGAACTGTGACCCCAAGGCCCCCCTCATGATGTACATCTCAAAGATGGTTCCTACCAGTGACAAGGGTCGCTTCTATGCATTCGGTCGTGTGTTCTCTGGATCTGTGTCTACTGGCCTCAAAGTTCGCATCATGGGACCAAACTTTGTCCCTGGAAAGAAAGAGGATCTTTACTTGAAACCTATTCAGAGGTTTGTGTCAGTCAGTTCTCGTGAAGGATTTTTTAAATTTATTGTTTTTACATCTTGAGTTGTTTTTCTATGGTTTCTATCAGGACCATTTTGATGATGGGTCGTTACGTTGAGCCCATTGAAGATGTGCCTTGTGGCAACATTGTGGGTTTGGTTGGAGTGGACCAGTTCCTCGTCAAGACCGGAACAATCACTACCTTTGAGCAGGCGCACAATATGAGAGTGATGAAGTTCAGTGTCAGCCCTGTGGTGAGAGTTGCTGTGGAGGCCAAGAACCCTGCAGATCTGCCCAAGCTGGTGGAGGGACTGAAGCGTCTCTCAAAGTCCGATCCTATGGTTCAATGCATCATTGAAGAGTCTGGAGAGCACATCGTTGCAGGAGCTGGAGAGCTGCATCTGGAGATCTGTCTGAAAGATTTGGAGGAGGACCATGCTTGCATTCCAATCAAGGTTGGACATTTGAAATGTTTCAGTAAAATGTCGAAATTTCAAGTTTGATTTAAAGCAAATGCATAACTCGGGTTTTTTAGCTTTCATTTAAGTTGCAAAGAACTTAACTGATTTTTATTTTTTCAGAAATCTGATCCTGTGGTGTCCTACAGAGAAACAGTCAGCGAAGAGTCAAACGTGTTGTGTTTGTCAAAGTCTCCGAACAAACACAACCGTCTGTTCATGAAGGCCCGTCCCTTCGAAGAGGGTCTGGCAGAAGACATCGAGAAGGGTGACGTCACCAATCGACAGGAGCTCAAGGCCCGTGCCCGTTACCTTGCTGACAAGTATGAGTGGGATGTCGGTGAGGCCAGGAAGATCTGGTGTTTCGGCCCTGATGGAACTGGACCCAACTTGCTGGTGGATGTTACCAAAGGAGTGCAGTACCTTAATGAGATCAAGGATAGTGTTGTGGCCGGTTTCCAGTGGGCAGCCAAGGAGGTGGGTGACCAAATACAAAACAGCTGTTTTGTTATTTTCTACATTTGTCACATGATTAACTTTTTTATTTTTTCAGGGAGTCCTCTGTGAGGAGAACATGCGTGCCATTCGCTTTGACATCCATGATGTGACCCTGCATACAGATGCTATTCACCGTGGTGGTGGTCAGATCATCCCCACAGCCCGTAGAGCTCTGTATGCCTGTCAGCTGACGGCAGAGCCAAGAATGATGGAGCCAGTCTATCTGGTGGAGATCCAGGTAAGAGTTGTTGATGCTAATTTATGTGTATGCTAACCTGTGGGTCTTACTTGGGTTATTTTTGTTTCTGCTCAATCTAAATTTGTAGGGTACAAATGTGCCTATATTTGCTGCCTTAAAATAGTTGTATCGAAGCTGGTTTGCTTGTTTTGTTTTTTCTTACCATATTTGTTTTCTCTGCAGTGCCCTGAAACGGCAATGGGTGGAATCTATGGTGTGTTGACCAGGAGACGTGGTCATGTGTTTGAAGAGTCCAGGGTCTTGGGGACACCCATGTATGTCATCAAGGCCTACCTGCCTGTCATGGAGTCATTTGGTAAGTTCTTGTTTTACTAAAAACATTTTATTTTGGTTATTTTTACATGATTTTTTTTAAGCAGGTAAGTAAAAATAAACACCGTTTACATTTTTGGTTTGTTTGACCAAGCCTTAATTATGTTTATGTTCACCAGCGTGCTTCTCAACATAAATACGCACTTAGTTTTTGAGAAGCTTTTAAGTTTGCATCATACCATCCACTCCAACCTGAACTCCAGTTGATGTAAAAATGTCACTCCACAGTTGCTGATGTGCCACTTCTCCCCACTAGTAGCAAAGTAGATGATCTCAAGCAGACTTTACTGAGCTTCACTTGCATTTTGCAAACATTTTCAGACTTTAAAATACCTCGCCTGTGGTTTTACCACTTATTATCGGTGTAGAAAATGATGTAAAACTTGTTTAAATACAGCGTGTATATATAGTTTTGGGTTGAAATTTTGAATATTACAACAACCCTAGGTTTATCCCCTTGGGATTATTAAAGTATATAATAGTCGGAACATTATCAATTTTGCAAAGTTAATGCGAGCTGAAAAATTCTAGACTGTATTGAGGTGCTGTACATGATGTCACATGATTTGGCCAATAAGAGGCTCCTTCACAGTTGCAGATACTGGTAGTGGCTAAGGTGTAGTACATAAACGCAGGGGCAAAGAAAAATTTTAGTTGCAATATTTAGTAAGTAAAAAAAGTTCAGGGTTTTTATTTGACAGCAGACCAAAATGTTTTCACATGCGTCTTTTTTTATTGTTGCTTTTTGACTCCTGTAGTTGCACTGTTAGGAGGTTATTGTTAAATAGCTTGTCTGACTTGGTCCTCTGTTTCCAGGCTTCACAGCTGACCTTCGTTCGAACACTGGTGGCCAGGCTTTCCCACAGTGCGTGTTTGACCATTGGCAGATCCTCCCTGGAAACCCAATGGAGCCTACATCCAAACCTGGCATAGTTGTCCTTGAGACACGTAAACGCAAGGGTCTCAAAGAAGGTGTTCCAGCCCTGGACAGCTACCTGGACAAATTGTAAAAGCCTGGAGCCCACGTGGCTCTCTCTCTCTTGTCTCATTCCTCCCTACCCAACAAATTTTAAATCTGTGGGACCGGACTGTACAGAACACAGTAGGCACCAATGTTTGCCAAAGGATCGATGATGATGATAATAAAAGAAATGACCACAAAAATTGTAAACGATAAATAAAATAAAATTAAAAATGAGAATTGCTTGTGTTGTTTTATGAGAATTAACGTTTTGTTATTAATCTTCTTGCTAAAGTTTATGTTGCAGCTATAAGACACGGGTGACCACTGAACTTGTCCAAAAAGCTTTTTTTTTTTTTTTTTAAGCTCGACATCTCGCACCATGCTTGTGCTGTGGTAGGAGTTTGAGCTAAGTCACGCTTCAGGAGCACGTTTTTAAAGTTACATTTTATCAGACGTACACTTGATGAGATCAATGTAATCTTGTAAATGGTACTATGAAAACTAAACTTTTTGTACCTTTGAACGGTTACAGTATTTGTATGTAATTGACTCCCCAACAGTATCGCTTTTTTGGTCAGTTTTTGCAAAGTGTTTTAGTTTAGCTTTAAATCAGACTAGTTCAGAGCGCTTTTTTTTTTTTTTTTTTAACTTGCCCATTCTTACCATATTTTTCAGACTAAAAGGTGCACTTGAAATCTCAAATTGACAGCTTTATAATCCAGTGCACCTTTATATATTCTGGTTGTGTTTACTGACCTTCAACTGATTTTATGTGGGACAACTGAACAATTGAGTTTTTGTGAATGAGTTGAATAAAGCTTGACTTATTTGACTTGTTTCGCTTAATGTGCCTTATGGTCTGAAAAAGACTTGAGTTATGGCAAATCCAAACAGAACGGCTGTTGAAACTTGAGGCTAAAGAAGTTGCACAAGTAGAGGAAACCAAATTGGGAAGTGATAGGTTCAAATTCAAAATGGATAGTTTTTTTTTCTACAGATTTAAGTGCAATTGCAGACAAGACATCAAAATGTGGGTGGGGGGCGGGGAAGTAAAAGCCTCCACCCTCGTTTACCCCATTCTGGGCCCTTGAGCAAGACCCTTAAACCCTCCATCTGCTCCTCTGGGTGCCCTAGATATCAGCTCTGCTCCACACGGCTGTGGTCGCATCAGGAAGGACATCAGGCGTAAAAATTGCTGAAGAAGGGAGCAGCTAAAAAAATGTATATACTGTATACGTGTATATAAAACAGTTTACCCATTTTCTTTGAAGTTGAGCCACCTTGTAAATAAGTTATGTTCAAATTGTGTTGGAAATTGAGATATTTCCTACCATGCAGTGAAAAACAACCACTAATGAATGCTGAAATGTTAATATACTTAAAACTTCTGTCCAAACAAAACTAGTTTGTAAATATAGACGAGTTGCAAGAATTAAAATGCTGTAGTGACACAAATTTTGGTGTCCTAATAACTTTACATTAATCTTATAAAAACAAAGATTAGCTATGCACTCAGATTTTTTTTTTACATAAAATGCAATTGCATTTGTTTATAATGTAGCGTAATATATGGGTGCTTTAGATAAGTCAAATATAATGTAAATCATGATTATATTCTGTGAAAAATAAAAACTCAAATCCTTTTCTTTCAAATGTTCGCATGCATTAATTTTTTGCATCAGTTTACATAAAGCCTTTAAAGGTTCGGTAGGCGGGACGTTTTAACTAACCGACCAATCGGGAGTCTCCATATCGACCAATCAGAAAACAGACACTTCTCTTCCTGTTTGGCCCAGGGACACTATATTATCTGGTGAGAATTAAACGTTTTTTTCCAAAAAAAAGTAGACCAAATATTGTGAACAAGAAAATAGTCAATGTTTATTGTAAATGAGATTCATTTTATGTATATGTTTATTTATTTTCCATCGAAAATTTGGCCTCTTGGGTAATATGTCTATGTGAATTTTACCCGTTTATTGTGTGTGTGCGTGCGAGCCCGAGCAGAAAACGTTAGCCACAGCCGACTGCTAACACTAGCAGTCAGGTTAGCTTCCTGGCGGTAAAATAACACCGACATGTACAGTAACTAAGGCCTGTTATGCTCTCTCTTTTTTAAATATCACCATCTCGTCCCATAATTTACGCAGTGTGTTACGTGAAAAGACATGGGAGGAATTAAGCAGGAGCAGAGTGATGCATCGCAGCAGCCCAAAGCTTCCCATGCAGCGGAGCAACCTCAAGAGGAGGTGGGTACAGCTGCTGCCCCCGACCTGAGCACACTGGCCTTGGAAAGTTTTCCAGTTTTGCTGACGTGTTTGAGGAAGAAGGCTGCTACCATTGTGTATTTCAAGAAAAGAATGAGTAAACTATAAAAGTTAGTTGCAGTGCTACTGCGCAGTAATTAACAAACACATGTTATAAATGCTGTTTCTATTTGTCAAGACTTGACTGAGCAAATATATCTTTACTGGTAACAATAAATGAGTTTTTAGGAAGGTTTATAAAATCAAAACCACAACACTTGATAAAATAAGACTACAAAACCCACTCAAGAGGTCTTTAGATGTGATGTGCTGCATTTTCCACAGTGCTGAACTACAAATTGTTGACATTCAATTGCAGCACATTTTTGTTGATGACAGTATGTAATTGTGTTTAAGGCTGCAACAGTTTCAAATGAATCCAGTCTAATTCACAACAGAAGTAATCTCAGGGCACAGAACAGAAACATTCGCATACATAAAAAATGGTCAGTAACAATATTTATTTGAGGAGCAGACTGCTGTGAGTTTTCACTTCATCACAGTCTCCCATCCTAAGGAAGCACAGAGGCAACAGTGGAAAGGAAACACTCCCTCAGGGGGAAGAAACCTCCAACAGAACCAGGCTCAGGAGAAGCGGCCATCTGCTTTGACCGGCTGGTTTTGAGACAACTAATAATTTAAATACTTTACACTGACTTATTGTGCATTTAGTTATTTTATATCAGACACTGTGTAATGATCAATCATTATTGATTGTTAACCGTCTACACAACGGTTGGACAAAGGAGATTGTATTTTTCGACAAGATTATTTGATAAATGATAGTGTAACCTGCATAAATAAGGGTTGAATGAATTAATAGTATAAAGCAAATCTTAGCTTCTTGTGAAAACAAGTATTTGAGGGTGAATGTTTGTGGATATGACTATTTCTGTTCTCTTCTCTGCAGCCTAAAAAGAGGGGCTGGCCAAAGGGAAAGAAAAGAAAGAAGGTTCTGCCAAATGGTCCCAAGGCACCAGTAACAGGTTACGTACGTTTTCTGAATGAGCGGCGAGAACATATGAGGTCCCGATACCCTGACCTGCCTTTTCCAGAAATCACCAAGAGACTAGGAGCAGAGTGGACACGATTAGCCCCAAATGACAAACAGGTTCTTTTTTTTACAGTTTATTTTACTATCCGTGCATGCTCTATTAACTGTATATATTTTAATAACACAACACAAAACCTTATGCCTACTTTTTGATAGTGGTTTTAATTGTGAGCCTTTTGGGGTCAGTCATATTCAAGAATAACAAGGAAGTCTCTTTTACCTTTGTTTGTATTTACTTCCACACACAACTTTATATCTTCAGTCACTATAACTTTTGATGAATTATTCATTTTTAAAGGTTAGTTCAGTGAAACTGTAATGCTAAAATATCCTTTGGAATACGTCACGACTTTTTTTTGTGTATTGACAGCGCTACCTTGATGAGGCAGAGCGAGAGAAGGTGCAGTACGCTCAGGAACTGAAGGAATATCGTCAGACTGAAGCCTTCCAGATCACCAGTGCCAAGCTGCATGACAAGAGAATTAAAAAAGGTGACAAATGACTTCAGCTTGAGTTTTGAATCGGCTTGAACATCAGTAATTACCACTACAGTCAACACCAAACAAAAAGCTTTTTTTAAAATGCATTTCTTTTTTCAGAAGACACGTCGTCGGTCATTGTTGGTTCCACTTCAGGGTTGTCTTTAACAAAGGTGTGCTGCACGGCATTGTCTGTATTTTCCACAGTTATTTTACGTTTTCCTCAGAGAACTGCATTGTCAGTTAAGCTTGCCGCGTGTGTTTCAGGCTTCTGACCTCTCGAGCAGATTCGACATCCCGATTTTTACAGAGGAATTCCTCGATCAAAACAAAGGTAGCAGAAACAGCAGGAAACAATCTTTCTGCTATTTTAACAAAAACAAATGCTGTTTACTGTATTTATAGCATATTGGAAGTACTCGTTCAGTATTTCCTGTCAAACCTTTCTTTTTATGCTCGTGTTTTAAGCTCGAGAGGCCGAGCTGCGAAGGCTTCGGAAGGCAAACGTTGAGTTTGAGGAGCAGAACGCAGTTCTGCAGCGTCACATCAGTGATATGAACAGTGCTAAAGAGCGTCTGGAGGCTGAACTGGGGCAGGACGAGAAGCGAACCCAGGCTCTTCACCAACACCTGCAGGCCATTAAACACACATTGGTCAGCAGTCTGTCATCAGTCCCTCTGCCAGGTTAGATGGGTTTTCAATCAGAGTGAAGCAGAGTGCCATTCCTTTGTTGATTTAGGATAAACCTGTTTCTGGGGCTTATTTTTGAGTATAATTCAATAACACTTTACAAAAAGATCTGAAGCTGTTGTGTTTGACCTCTCTTAGGGATTTTAAACAATTGATAAGGTCAATGCGGCAGCACGGTGGCACAACTGGTAGAGCTGCTGCCTCTCAGCGAGCAGGTCCCTGGTTCAAACCCTGGTCCAGGGGCCTTCTGGGTGGAGTTTGCATGTTCTCTCCGTGCATGTGTGGGTTTTCTCCAGGTACTCCAGTTTCCTCCCACAGACCAAAAACATGCATGTTAGGCTGATTGGTAACTCTAAATTGTTCCTAGGTGTGAATGAGAGAGTGAATGGTTGTTTGTCTCTATGTGTCCCTGTGATGGACTTGCGACCCGTCCAGGGTGTACCCCGCCCCTCGCACAGCGATTGTTGGACATGGGCACCGGCGACCCCCGTGACCCAAAATGGAATAAGCAGGTAAAGATAATGGATGGATGGATAAGGTCAATCCAAAAATCAATGCAGACATGTTCCTGTTTTTAGTATTTTTCCCCATTTCATAATGTAGCGTGTGTTTTTTGTTTTATATAACTACTTTTATTTCATTTAAATGCTTTTTATGACTGTTTGTACCTCATCTGTGCGTGTTTTTTAAACAGGTTGTAAATGAGTCCTCGTGACCCATTGAGACTAACCTGTATAAATAAAGGTTGAATTAATGAAAAAAAAAAATCTCTCACTGTAAATACAAAATCTGTCAATATTTTTTGTACATCTTTGACATTTTTTAAAAGAAAATCGAACAAACTTTTGGATTGAATTGTTTTTTTGTTTTTTGTTTGTTTTTTCTGGAACAGGAACAAGTGAGACAGCATCTCTGGGCAACCTGGACTCATACCTGAGTCGTCTCAGTGGAGTGCTGGAAGGAGACCCCCATAAACACCGTGCCCTGCTCAGCCAACTCCACAAGGTCCTCTCTCATCTCGACAGGTGAAAAAGACTTCACTGGATGAAGCAGGGATACTTTATAACAGGAGAACTTGAGCATAGTGTATGAAAGATCTGCTTTTCTTAAATGAATAAATAGATTTTTAATGCATTTATTTAAAAAAAAAAAAAAGGTTTTCAGTGTGTTTTTTTAAATCAAAATGGCTAATGGGCACTTTTTTTTTTCCATTTTAACTGTTGATTTAACAAGGAAAGCTCTAATATTCAACTAAATCCTTTGTGTCTAGATTTTCTCATTTCAAACGCCAAACACCAGGTTTGTACCCTAAATCTCTCCAGAACTACCAAGTATTTTTCTGCATTTGGACATTAAATGCCTGAACATTATGAACGCTTGTATAAAACTGAACTACATGAAAATTACAGTGGGTTTTGTCGCATGTACAGTGGAGTATGTGAAATGATATGGGTGCAAGTTGTTCATGAAGCAACATATGATAATGGCTGGAATTTCACTTATGAAGCAGTGTTTATGTATTTAAAAGTGATGGTGAATATTGTCTTTGCTTGTTTTATTTTTCTTTGTCAGTGAGAAGTTATGAGGAGGCTCCAGCCAGATGCCCCACTCTCATACGTCATAAAGACACCCCACAGGCTTGGTGGAATTAGGCCAAGTCAGTGCCATTCTATCCAGGATGTGGTGGTATGGGTATAAACACTCGCAGCCCATGCCTGTTGTTTACCGATGTGTGTGTTTTGTAAAATATGTCATTGCAATATGTCATATTTTTAAAGTGAATTTCTACTGCAGCATAGATGGTTTTTAGCAGTTCAGGCATCTCATACCATTTAAACAAATCTGATCTGACTTGAATCCCGTTTTGCAGCTTTTCAAAAGTTTGGGAGAGGATGAGGATAATTGTGTGCAGTACTTTGATGAGGCGGAAAATAAAAGATTAGAGCACAGGAAAATGCTTCATTTTACATTTGATTGACAGGTTGTGGGATGCATATACTGTTTCTCATGTTGTCAGATCATTGTATATTTGTGCTTTATATTTTGTATTTTTACAGATGTTCATTAAACTACATTGAACATCCTGTTTCCTGTTTTCAATCAATGTGGGACACACTTAAACTGCTCTATCTAAAGTTTGAGTCTCATCACTTAACAGCTTGTAAAGTCTTGGTGACTACTAAAGGTCAAATTTTGTTTGAGTGGGAGTTTTGTTTTTGTGAAGAGCGAAATGTTTTTCTGTTGTTGTTTTTTTATGCAGGTATATAATGTAAGGGTCACTGTAACAGCAGAGGGAGCTGTTGACTTGTTTATTTTTGAACTTTCAAACCTTTACTCAAGTTAATACTGAGTTTAGTGACTGTCCGAGCATGAGTCAAAAATATATTATTGTTCTTGTATAATTTACTTTGGTTTCATCCCCCAGACTAAAAACATGCATGTTAGGCTGATTGCCCCAAGGTGTGAGTGAGAGAGTGAATGGTTGTTTGTCTCTGATGGACTGGAGACCTGTCCAGGGGGTCCCCCGCCTGCACAATGACTGCTGGATATGGGCACCAGTGACCCCCCATGACCCAAAAAGGAAGAAGCAGGAAATAGATAATTGATGGATAAATTCATTATTTTTGCTTTTTCTTTTTAAAAAAATGCTGCATATTATAATTCACCTTTAAATCATTTGTTTAAAATGTGTTCTATAAAGTAATCCAAATTCATAAATTGATTATTATTCAAATAACACTAGCAGATTAAGGGTATATAGGACATAATACTCAGTTTAAAAACTATTATAAATAAATATTTGGGCTGTTGCTCCCTATGTTGAGAGGGAGGTTTTATTACTTTTTCTTAATAAAATATTTAAAAAAATTAAACTGATGAAAAACAGATCACAAGCTGACATCATATAATAGTCGTCAAAACTGATGTCCATGATTCAGTTTATCTGTGAATTTCATTTGTCCCATCCCCAAACTAGATATCATAAATGTCAAGTGTTGACATAAATCATGTAATTTGTATATTTCATTATCACTGTTCATAAATATCATTTTAGATGTGCAAAAATAAATCAAATTGTAACATCCCTAAAACGTTTAACTAGTAAAATTTGTACAAATTTTATGCATTCATAAAATAGTTAAAAAGCTAAAATCAGACAGTAACTGAAATAAAAACTTTCAATTATATATAAAGGGATTATCTTTGAAGATAAGATAAATCAGACAAAATTATGACTAATGAGAAAAGAACTGGCTGAATTGCAGCTTTCTCCTAAAATAGTTCAATTTTGATTTACACAAAGTATAAAACAATAAGAAAGAAGCTATGAGCAAATGTATTATTTGGCCTTGGAAGAATATTTGGGATATCTAAAAGCTGACTGTGCATTAAATGAATGCCTGTATTGATATTTGAAATTATATTTTTTTACTAGGAAGAGTTTAATTATCGATATTGACCATGTCAGTAAACAATAAAATATACAGATCTTTAGACGTCTTGAACTTCTTTCTTTTAAGTAATCCCATTTGTGGAGCTAATTTTTATATAATTATTTCAAGTTTGCCTAGAAAGAATTATAATTTTTAACAGGAGAACGTATTAATCCTGGTGACTTAAAAGTAAATATGCGGTTTTACTATATGCAACAACGGGCTGCCCTACTTCAACAACACGCGCTCTGACGTCACCGCTGTCCACGCAGCTGGTGGTGCTGAAGCTGAACAAGATGGCTGTTGGTTGGGGACGGAAGAGCTGAGGCAGAAGCAGAAAGAGTCTTAAATTCAGTCAGACTCGTCGCGGAAACAGAACGAGAGGACGGAGAGGGTTGTCCGCACTCTCCGAGCGGGAAGACGGTAGTTTTTGTCGCGTGTCACGAACCGGTTCGGGCCCTGGTGTTTGTTAGCAGCGTTCCTGCTTCTCTGTCCCCAGCCCAGTCATTCATCCCGGACTGTAGCATCTCGCACATCTGGCTCTGCCAAGTGGGAAACTGGAGAAGAAGCTGGACCGTGTAGTAAAGGAGCGCGTAAGAAATGTCCTTGCTGTGTGTTGGAGGTAAGAGAAGCCACCAGCGCGTGTCTTGGCACGAGCTCCGAGTCATTTGCTCCTCCAGGTGTATGAATTTAAAATAGTGTTATACATTATCTTCGGTGTTGATCCAATATAAGTGAAAGTTTAGTCAAAATGGGGTTATTGTGATTTTACATATAAACCATGGCTGATTATTTTTTTTTAAATCACAATAATAAGAAAGTGTTAATTTAGTTTAAACACATATTGAGATTGTTTGATAGCTCATAGGTTCATTTTTGGAAGAGATTAACTTCTGTCAAGCACAAATGTTGGCTTTTTCCCAGTATCTCTTAAATGTTTATCTAAAAATACTAACAAGCATTGTTTTCTATTAAAACTGCTCCCACTGACATATTCCAGACCTCAAACATTATTTGATTTAAAATAAAATAAATTATTTCTACAGAGGAGGATTGGGGGCATTTGTTTCTCTCTTTTTCTCAGAATTATGGGATTAAAGTCAGGATTATGACTTTTAGAATTCTTTGTTTTGAGAAATTTGAAATTATATTCAGAATTCTGACTCTTGAATTAAAGTCAGAACAAATTCATAAAGTCAGACTTTATTTTAAGAATTTTGAGAAGAAAATTTTCTCTGACTTTGTCAGAATTTTGACAATTGTTTTCCTCAAAATTCCAACTTTAATCTTAGAATTCTAAAATTAATGTCAGAATTCTGGCTAGAATGCTGACTCTCTTGCTCAGTTTATTTATTTTTTTACTTTATTGTCATAAATCTGAGGGGTAAAAATCACTGTGGCCCTAATCCTCTTCCATAGATGTTTCCATCCATCCTTTATCTTCCGCTTGTTCCAAAGTCAGGTCTCGGAGGCAGCAGCTTGAGCAGGGAGGTCCAGACATCTCTTTCCACAGCCACCTCTTCCAGCTCTTCTGGGAGGACTCCAAAGCATTCCCAGGCCAACTGAGAGACATGGTCTCTCCAGCGTGTCCTGGGTCTTCCCCGAGGCCTTCTGGCAGTCAGACATGCCCAAAACACCTCCTTACGGAGGCACCCATCCTTACCAGATGCCTGAACCACCTCTGGCTCCTCTCAACGTGGAGGAGCAGCGGTTCTACTCTTGAGTCTCTCCTGGATAACTGAACTTCTCACCCTGTCTCTAAGGGAGAGTCCAGCTACCCTGCAGAGGAAACTCATTTCAACCACCCGTATCCGCAATCTCAGACTTTCAGTCACTACCCAGAGCTCATGACCATAGGTGAGGGTAGGACCGTAGACTGACTGGTAAACAGAGAACTTTGCCTTACAGCTCAGCTCTCTCTTCACCCCAATGGACTGGCACAGAGTCCGCAATACTGCAGACGCTGCACCAATCCGTCTGTCAATCTCACGCTCCATTCTTCCCTCACTCATGAACAAAAGCCTGAGATACTTGAACTCCTCCACTTGAGGCAGAACCTCATCCTCAACCTGAAGAGAGCAATCCACCTTTTTCTGGTTGAGGACCATGGCCTAAGAATTGGAGGTGCTGATTCTCATCCCAGCTGCTTCACACTCGGCTGCAAACTGCTCCAGTGAGAGCTGAAGATCACGGCACGATGACGTCAACAGGACCACATCATCTGCAAAGAGCAGAGATGAAATCCTGAGGCCATTGAACCAGACTACCTCCACCCTCCTCTATAGATGTCTCTACAGTTGCATAAAAACAAATTTTCTCATGCCATAATAGTTATAATAGACTTTGTGGATGAGCAAAAGTCTGTGCATTGATAGTGTCACAATTGGAACCAACTCCTGCACGGTCTTGTCACTGTAATGTCTTGCTTCTGTCACAGATAGTGTGTTTCAGCCTGCATGTTATTTACTGAAGTAAACAAAATCCAAAAGACTGTCAGCATCCAAAGTTTGTGGCTTTATTTGGAGTTTGGTAACAAGCCATTTATCCTTGAGTTTCCCTTTTAAGCTTTTTATATTTGTACCATAAATGGCTGTCAGACATATTTTAAATTGACCTCTTATCATTTCTTATGTAGAAAATGAAAGAAATGTTATAACATCTTAAAACTAGTATCCAGGACAACCCCTGAAATTAGATTGAGCCCTCTTGATATCATAATGCACTGTTATTTTAAGGATATGCCCAATGAGTATACATGTATATGATATACAGTTAGAGAGATTTCCCAGTCAAAGGCACTTTGCAAACACAATATTTGTTTTTTAGAGTAAACAAGTACATGATAACAAATGATTTCTTCAATGCAAACTTGTCTTGAATACGTTTGTTGGCGTTGGCCACATTGCTGGAACAGACACTGTCCTTTAGCTTTGCTGGTGTAACACTTTGTGGTCTTTAATGGGAGTTTCTGTTTACAGTTTTTCATTAGACTCCAGACTTTTCACAGGCTTGCCTCTAAGTTTGTATCAGTAGTATGCTTTATGTTAAGGTGGCTTGAGAGAAATGGAGAAATGAAGAAGACAAGGGACAACTGTTCAGCCTGTGCTACAACAGTCATGTGGTATTTACCTGCTCAGAGTTGTTTATGATCTACTTCCATGTCTTGTGCTGTTAGATATAATCTGAGCAATGATGGACTGTGTCACTGAGGCTGAGTAAGCATCTTTAAAGCTCTCTGACATCCAGACAGTGGCACCGTTGTGTAAAATGCCGGCACACACCTTAAATCACAACATGGATGTTTGAAAAACACCACTTTCACCGCCTCCCAGCATAAGTATTTCTGCATGTATGGCACCGTATTTTCCAGCATATAAGTTGCACCTTTTTGCATAAATTTGCAACTCCTGCAACTTATACATCGACGCGACTAATATACGTTTTCCTTTTCCATATTCATAACGCAATTTTTTACTGACACTTGAAATGTTCATTCATTCAGACACGAACCAGTAAACATTACCAGCTGCAGCTGCTAGAGGACCCGCTAGGCTTTCAAATGTTGTTCCTTTACCCCCCCCCCCCCACACACACACACACACACAAATGGTCACTTAAGAGACAACTGAGAAAAACTTAACACAAGTAAAATGCTCCCAAACAGAAAATCTTATGCAGATTTCAAACTGCAGGTAATACATATGAAGCCCCCAAAACAGTAATCGAGCAGCAGAAAGAACGTCTGTAAATGGGTTGGGTCTGCGCAGTCTGCCCGGGGGATTCAACCCAGCGGAAGGGACAGTCGCACGGCGGCAGAGGATCCCCCCTCGCAGGGAACATTCCCCCCATGTCTGCCTGGCTCCTGCATTTCCTCCGCGGTGGTGCGCCACCCATCCATCCACCAATCAATCCACCCATCCGTCTCGGCTCCAGCTGCAAGCTTTATAGCCTTCCTCCGCTGCACGAGCCAGGAGGAAGGGGGCAGCAAAGTGCATGTTCCGTGGCTCCAGGAAGCAGCGATGTGTGGGTGGAGGAAGGCCCAGAGCTTGCGGCCAGAGCATTCGTTCCCGCTCCGGCAGCGGAGCGGGGAGGAACACTAGCGCCCAGGTGTAATTAAGCTGTTTTGACCATTAAAGTGCATTTATTAAGGAAAAGTTAAACTTAGATACACTTTGCTATAATGTCGATCAACAAATAATTAATTTTAAGTGTTCATCTTGTTAACTTCTTGTTAAAGTCCTCCAGTGTGCGCTCCCGCGGCCGCCATTTGGCAGCCAATCGATTTTTGGCACAACACCGGCCCACATTTCCGGGGGTCTGCAGTGACGCATAACAGAAGTGACCTATATGGCAAAGCAACTTATTTATGTTTTTTTCCACTTTATTAGACATTTTTGGACTGATGCGATTTATATACCGGAGATACTTGTACGGCAGAAAATACGGTAGTTATCAAAGATTTAAATGTGTATTTTTTCTTTTTCAAGCAGAAAGCAGATTAGAAATGAAAGCAATTGATCAGAACACCATCTTTGACTTCTTCTGTGTCACTTTTTGTCTTCAAAACAATATAATTTCTTTAAGGCACACTAAAACACATGTTTGAAAGAAGACCGCACACAGGTTGTTCCAAACATCTTGGGGAAACTAAGCACAGATTATCTGTGGATGCAGGCTGGCTCAGATCTTTCTGTCTCCATGTAATCCTAGAAACACTCCATAACGTTGAGATCAAGGCTCGGTGTGAGCTTCACGTCACTTGCAGGACTTTTTGTTTTTCTTTATGCTGAAGACATGTTGTTCTTTTAGGCATCAGTTGTGCGTTTGCTGCAGAATTAATTTTTTATTTGTTTTCATTGTATGATAGATACATATTTTCTTGAGGATGTTATTAGTTCTGACCAAATTCCCAGCTTGTTTTGTAGAAATGTAGTCGCAAACTTGTAAAAAATCTCCCCGGCTTTTACGTTTTCATGCAAATTTGAGATGCTTGGTCTTGTTATAATGGCAGAGGCTTTTAGGTCACAGCTACTCCATAAATATCCACTACAGACAAACCTCTTCACATAGAAGATGCGCAGACCTGGATCTCACAAGTTCTGAGCAGATGACACCACTGGACATTTTTCAGTGAAGTAAACAATTTATTTTTCCTTTGAGTATTGACTTTTTCTTTGTGGGGGACATTTTAAACACCAGCTGTGCTTTAAACTCTTTGCCAGGAAGAGACCTTGCTGCTGCAGTTTAACTTCTTGTATCTTGGCAGTGTCTTCAGTTTTGCCGTGGTGTCTGATCTGCAACATGAAACTCTTCTTCAGCTTATCCTTGGCAGCAGTTTGGCTGTTCCTCGCCCAGTTTATAACCTCCCATACAGCTTTTTCAGTTTCAAACAATGACTGTATTTTACTCTGCATATACAATTATGATCATTAGCACCTGTTAGCTATACCATGATCAGTTGAACATAAACTGGATACAAAACGTTGGACCTAGTGTGTACCAGTAAGAATGTATACTATTTTGAAAGGAAATGATGATCATACCGAATGTACCAAAAAAGTCCATGCTCAATAATCCAGGTATACAATCCAACAATTTTCAGTCAGGTCATCTGGACAGTTTCTTTTTTTGCTGAAACGTTTCACCTTCTATCCGGAAGGCTTCTTCAGTCAAGGAAACACACAACACAAAACTGATTCTTCCCCAAAACAGCTTACTCCAATGTGGAACAAACCAGTTATGTTGGTGCTAAGATGGTGTCCTTGGCACACACCCTCCTCTTGTGCCGGCCCTCTTCCTCGTCGACAGCCATGTCAAACTGGTTCAAAACCAAAAAAAGTCCATGCTCAATAATCCAGGCATACAATACATACCGAATATAGTTTTGATTTTAAGTTTTTCTTCTTTTTTTAAGAAAAATGTTCTTTCCTTTCTTTTTTGCTTTAAAACTGCAACTTTATCCTGTTCTTGTTGATGTCAGTATAAAATGTAAGCTCTGTGAAAAACATTTGACTAACACCTCAACAAATAAAAAATCAAATTAGCTGCTTTGATCAAGAGTGGCTGCACTTGTTCATTTTTCCTCTGCACAGAAAGAAAGAACGAGGTCTTGTAATTGCCGTGGCTCATCGTTTTCTGTTGCGTGACAGTATCATCCTTTTCTGTTCACCTACTCCCCTTCAGCCTTTTTCTCTGTGTGGTAAATGCTGCAGTATTGGTTTGAGTCTTCAGGAGTCATCTATTCATGATAGCAAATCCTCCTTCTACCTTCTCATACAGCCCTCCCCCTCCTCTCCCCTCTTTGCCAGCACCCCTCTCCCCTCCCCTGTCACGCTGGAGTGGTTATTTTTAGTGTTGGGGATGCAGCTCACTCTGCCTGCATCCGGCGGCTCCACAGAGAGATTAATGGAGCACAAGTGAAAGAGATAGAAAGGGAGCACACGTGCATATTCCCCACATGGCAGGGGGGAGCTTGTAGGAGGGAGTGATTGAGAGAAGACTGGGTGAGGAAAGGGCACTATGTGTGCAGTGTAAGAAAGCACTTAAAGTGCATCTATCAATTAGTGCCTTCAGTGCATGTTTGTTAATTGTATGCGTATTGCTTCCAAGAATTGAACTTTCCCTACCCCTCTGGTATGATTGCTTTGTCAGCAGCTAAAATATCAGCATCTTCCTTTGAAGTTGGGAGTAAAATCCCTCAACTTCCACATGCCAGCAGCTTAGGCACTTGAATTAAAGCACTGTTTAAGAGATAGGCATCATCTGATAGGTTTGGCAATGCTATTTTAAGAAACCAAAGATATACACATTGATTGCTGTTCCTGTTTTCCACAGATGACTTAGAATGTGTTGCGTTTTCATCATCACTTTTTCCATTTTTAATCGTATTCATTCATTTTTGCTAGACTGACTAAAAGAAACTTGTTGTCATCCTCTCAGATCTCGTTATAACTATGTCCAATCTCTTTACTTTCTCTTTGAATGTATCATGAATGAAAAGATGCGATCAGCGGGGATTAAATACCAGCGCTCTGAATATTAATACCTCACTGCTGAACAGAGACGGTAGACATCCACGGGATGCAAGATTGAATAAATAATAAAAAAAGCTTCTGACGTCAGTATGACTTTAAAAATCATCGATGGGCTACAAGAGAATCCTGCAATGAAGGTCTGGCAGTGGCATTTCATCAGCAAAGTCTTTACCATCATCTTAAACAAATGGTAGCATTGTTCAACTTTTTGTTTTTTCTTTCTTTTTGGCAGCTCTAAGTGGATATACACACATGCACATAATCTATACACATAATTTGGAGATAGCAGGGCATGTTTCCTGATATACCTGTTTACTTTGACCTGCACAAACGGTCCCTCTGGCCTCCAAGAACTGACTCAGAGACTGTGACGTCTGCTGAGCAGGTGCCATCCTTCATATTAAGAGCCTGGCATTCTACCCAAAGAGCATAGAGGAGTCCCAGGCTGAGAATAGCAGGCCTCCTACTAGCTCTCCAAAATGCCAAACTGCTGTCAGTCATCCACCAAATCATGCTATCAACGTAAAATACTGGCAGTGGATTGACTGAACTGTATAGGAGAATCGTGTTATCATGAATTATACATACAACATAAAATCTTTGAAAACACCATGGCTAAATGAACTAATCCCTTTTTTCTGTTTATTTGTAGTAAAAAAAGCCAAGCTTGATGGACCCCAAGGTGAGCTGTGAACACTTAATAAATCAGGTTATCTAAAGTGAATGGACAATGGTGTGAGCTGTTGATGTTTTTATTTTATTACTTACAGAGAAATTTAACACATACGTGACCCTGAAGGTGCAAAATGTTAAGAGCACAACCATCACTGTGCGTGGCAGTCAGCCCTGCTGGGAGCAAGACTTCATGTTGTAAGTGTCTCTTTTACTGCTTATCCCTTTATTTCAGCATGTTTCTACATTTAGGTCTTAATTTTAAGGATGCATGATGTTGGATTTGGCCGATATCCGATATATTAAAACTTATTTGGCTGATAACTGATACCGATATTTTATATGCGTTCCTTTGTCAGAACGTAGCCCTCTTATTTAAGCTTATTTGCTACAAAAATGGTGTAACAGCTGTAAAAGCTGGTGACATATATTCAGTAACAGCCATATGATATGCATAGCACTTTAACTTATATTAAATGAAAAGTGTTAAATGTTATTTATTAGCATTAGTCATCTGCAATACTGTCTCACTTGTGGAGGCTTGTTCTGGGTTCCTAGCTGCAGTTTGGGATCCTCTGCACTCTTGTGCATGAAGGACAGCCTTTTTAAGTTCAAAGTTTTTGTCTATCTATTGTGCTGTAAGACTAATCATGCTAACGGGGCTAAGAAGAAATTTAAATGTCTGTGGTAAAACTCACCCAACAAGTCGTGCTATTGGCTATTAGCTTCTCAATGACGTCGAAATGACGGCTTGTAACTCGGGTAACGTTATGTCGGAAAAATATTTTCGACTGGGGACGATGTAGCGAGGCTCATCGTAGCCAAAAATCTTTGGAATCTGACATCCTCAACGAAAACAAAAAACTTCCACACCGCCAACATTTTGAATTTTTCTCTCCACCGTGAGATCAGGAAGGCGTGTGTGACATCATCATGTTGTGCTGCCGCTGCAGGCATCCTTGTCACTGGGTTGTCATACAAAAACAGCATATTTTATATCGGTGAGTTATTTTGATGGAATGGTCGATGTCCGATATTGAACTTTAACGCTAATATTGACAATACCGATACCATGCCGATGATATTGTGCATTCCTACTTAATTTGTCAAATATTCCTGAAAATACGTCCTGCTTGTTTGTTTTTTTGTTTTTTTTTGTCATGTTGTTTTTGCTTCTGGTGCAAACATGTTAATTCACTTCCATTTTTTAAACAAACTTGTAAAAAGAAAAAAGGAAAACTTTATAATGCAGGCTTTCCATAAATAACTTCATATTAGTTTCAATATATTTTTAACTGGGGTAATGACATAAATATCAAGCTATTAGCCTTATGATAAAGGCAGTTATGTCACACAAAGAGAGGTGTCCCCACATGTGTTTGTTTGTACTGTAGATGTCGTGCATTCAGGCCAACAGGGTCAGCTGTGGCATTTACCAAAAGGATTTATTTTTGGTTTCTTACTTCCATTCAGCCTCTCTCCTGTGTGAAAACAATATAACATTGCTGATCTTAGCATTGCTCCACAGCCAGTCAAGAGTATTTCTCCCCCTTTCAAATTTCTCAGTACTTCAGAACTTCTTCATAAGTGGATATCTGATAAAAACAGCAGAGATGTTTGTTTGTTTTTCCTGTTTGGGAGACCTATTTTAACACTGTGTGCTGTATGCTGCACACATATCAATGAAGTAAATCAAACAGAACAGCCTGGTTACTTTGCTTGCTCCTGAAGAAATACAAATATGCACTTTCACATTAAAGCCAGAGTTATAGGTGGTTTTGATTCATTTAGGCCAGTGGTTATAGTAAGAGGCACTTTATCAATTGATAAATATTGATTGATCAATAGGTTCAGATTAGGAAAACTCTATTATAAAAATATGATTTCATCCAGCAGTGGGCCTTGTTTGAAAAATTTAAACAAGACAGCTTTGATAACAGCTCATCATGATTGTGTCAAAAGTGTGCTTTAGCTCTAAAAAAAAAAACTGCTTCAACAACTTTGTACATCCAGTAAGTTTTTGATCTTCAAATGCATACAATAATCCGCTGTTAATGCTGAAGGACTCATTTAATAAACAGTTTGGCGCATGGTGCACATCTTTGACTAGATGTCAAAAAGAAGTTATGCTATAAATCCTCTGTTTGAACTGTCTGTTTTTCTTCAATTTATACCATTTAAATATATGTATCTCAGTATTGACTTCTTCTTCGTTTTTTTTTTCGTTTTTTTTTTTTTGAACAGTGAAATAAACCGCTTGGATTTGGGGCTCACAGTGGAGGTGTGGAACAAAGGACTGATCTGGGACACCATGGTGGGAACCTTATGGATGCCTCTGCGCAATATACGGCAATCCAACGAGGTACACATCTACTGCACATGCAGACCATTACTCCAATTCTACTAGTAAAATATTACACTCTTCCAAATTATAATAATATTATAGAAATATATAACTTGTGTGAATATGAGAGTTTGGAGTTGTGCTTATACTGCATCATGTTATTTAAAGTTGGTCAATGGTTCTAAAGGGCCTGATAGTCCATATACAGTATGTATTTATCAGCTTTAAAGTTCATACATGAGGCTGTGATGGAAAGGGACTTTACATACATCCAAACTATTACATTTCTCAGTGTTGAAAACAGAAATGTACATAAATTGCAGTGAAACTGTACTATAGAAATTAATTGGAAACAAACTAATCAAAGATTACAAAATGTTCATTTACTTTGGAGTTGGGAAGAAAAACGTTGCAACATTCTGGGTAAAGTTCCTGCAAAGGCACATATTTTCAGTCCAAGCTTTTAGATGGTGATACCTTCACTTGTCATTGCTTTTTAATGAATTTTTCTCTTTTAAGAGATCAGTCATTTGAAGATGGATGTATCACTTCTTTACACTGAAAAGCTCTATGATTGATTTGTCAGTATGTCAGTATATTTTTAAAGTTAGTAGGGCTACAACAGCCAATTCATTAAAAGCCATACTATCATATTTGCAGTATATTTTAACTCCCAGAGAAGAGGAACTGAAAGCATGAAACTCAACAACTCAGTAAAAAGATAAGTGATATTTACAGTGATGACTTGGCAGGAAACAGAAGATCTGTAGATGATGGAGAATGGTGAGTATGGAGTCCAGAAGGTAATATTCAGATAAATGTTGGTAATTGGTTTTTCCTTACACATTGATTATTGGTTCAGTGGCACAGAGGGGAGTATCCCAGGTAAGTATTGTGGCAGAGAAGGTGGTGCAGCAGCAGGTAGGTGTACTGGTGGCAGGATGGACACAAACTGATTGAGAGTTGGCACCAAGAGTTCCAGGCTATAAGTCTTACTTGGAGGCACAGAGAGAAACAGGAAATCTAAGGTCGGTTTTTCCAGGAATCAAGACTAGGAGCACATAGAGAAACAAGTTCATATAAAGCTTTCAACCCAGATTTACAGAGGGATGTCACACAATACCAGTTGGCATCCAAATGTCCTGCCAGTGAGAAGAACAAATCCTCAGGCTTTCATACCCCAGAAGCTCATCAATGGGCCACAGCTGCTGCTCATTGGCACCACCCTGCTACTCAGGAAGCTGCAGAGGATACTGTAATCCCCACACATACATACTCAGGTCAAAGCAGAGCCACACAACCCAAGAAAGCTACTTTTTTCCTCATGTAAAATGACAAATCTCACAAAAGTACTAATGTGTCAGATTTACTGACATCCCCATTTAAAGGCCAAAGGGGTTGATTGGTGGAGTTTCAGATATGGTTGTAAAGCTGAACTGAGTTTGATTCCTGTGTGGTCCAGTGATTATTATAAATAGAATAATGTTATATTCAATTGTTATTATGTTCTATTTTTTTTTTTGCACTTACAGTTACTGTTAATCGTAAAAATATAAAAACCTAACAATAGGCATTAAAAATACTAGGTAGGATCTGTATTTATAAAAGCTATGAAACAGCCTTTTTTTGACTATTTGATAGGTTTTTATAGAAATTTGACAACAAATTTTATTGATTTTTGTGTGACTAAGATATCGAATGCTTAAGTTTAGTTTATGGTAAACTCTTGTAGAAAGAAAATAGTCAAATTTATGTTAAAAAAAACTGAATAAAAGTTTGGTCTGATGGTTTTTATTTGTACTGAAGTTTCTTTGCTATGCAGTAAAGTTAATGCTAGTTGTTTTTTTTTCTACTATGAAGCATGCTGTTTGTGGGAAAACTAAATGTCTCAGCAAAAAAAAAAAAAAAAAGAAACCGTCCAGATGACCTGACTGAACATTGTTGGATTAATGTTAGTTGGTTATCTTTTAGCTCATTGAAATAATAGTTAATTTAGCTGCCAAATGTTGCATTTATATCCCTTTTGTTAACTGTAAAAAAGGAAAAAAAACAGACATTCAGGTTTAGATTCAAACTTGCAATGTCAAACTTTAAGCACGCACACCATAAGACTCTTTGCCATATAGTACAGTATTGCAGAAGTCATCCTACTCCCCTGTCTTCTCCAGGATGGTCCAGGTCAGTGGCTGACCCTGGACTCCAATGTGATCATGGCTGAGAATGAGATCTGTGGAACCAAAGACCCGACCTTTCACAGGCTGCTGCTCGACACTCGCTTTGAACTGCCATTAGGTTTGGCCTTTTATTCATTGTATGCCTTTGATCCAATTTTATATTTTTGTCCCAGCTGTGTCTGTTAGGTTTTTGATATATAAATCTTTGTTTTATTACAATGTTACTACAATTTATACAACTTCTATGTGCCTGTTGATTGAGCCACTAAGGTTGCTTGACTTTAGCTGATTCAGTTGTTATCCCATCTTTAGTTAAACTAAAATACAAAGTTTATTCTTGATTTTGGAAATAGTTCTTAGTGAAACAGCTCCATCACTTCATTTAGCAGCTTTCTGATAGAGTAACATCAGTCATTCTAACTCATTTTAACCATTTTCATGGCTCCATCACTTTAGGAAGCATTGCGTTTTATTATTTTTCCTCACCTTGTGGTTGACACGTTTTTCAATTTTCTAATATTCTTGGTGCCTCTTGCACCATTCTATTAATTTAGCATGACATTTATATAAAATCATTATGATATCCTCAGTGCTTTTTAAAGTATACAGGGACTGGAGGCTTAAAAATGTGCTTTATGAATAAAAGATATGCTGAGTAGAGTATCTTTCTTGTACTTTAGACATCCCAGAAGAGGAAGCCAGATACTGGGCCAAGAAACTTGAACAACTGAATGCAATGAGAGATCAAGATGTAAGAATCTCAAAGTCCTGTCTCTGAACTACATGTCATCTATAACGCTTTATCTTAATAATATTCATCAATTTTCTGTTCTCATTTATTTTTTGCTTTCTTTTGTTCTCTGTTTTGCAAATTATTCACCGTAACTGAGAGTAACCGCAGAAATACCAGTCAATAATTTTACCACCAGTTTTTATTTTTATAGTCAACGGCCACAGTGTTGTTCTCGTCACATGTCTGTTTCTGCTGGTTGTTTTTGTAACCTCAGTACGCCCATGAAGAAGAGCCAGAGCAATCCCTCCACGCGCCCTCCACACAGTGCTGTGAGTGTCAGCGGCCTCTTCTGCATCCACCTCCTTCTGTGCCGTCACCTGCTGTGTCCTTTTTGCGCCTCCTGTTCTTCCTCTCCGTACTCCCTCTGCTCTGTTGCCTTGTCTTACTGAGAACAGGACCAGACAGGAGGTAGAGATGAAGCTAATAGATGAACAGAAGGGAAGCAAGGAAAGATGATGTGATTAATCACATATACACGCCTGCTTGAGCACCTGCGTGACTTATATGCAATATACGTGTGATCAATTTAATTTGGCATATAAGCTGTATCAGACATGCACTCCTGTCTGTCTCTGTCTGCTGAAAGGGACATACTTTTATGCTGTAAAAGTCTGCCTACAGAGGCTTTGTGTTTGTGCAAAGCTTAAAACTGCATGAATAAATTTTCTGCTTGTAGCTACTCGGCAGCATCAAGGCCAGCTGTCTTTATGCAAGTCAGTTTTCACAGAAGCCTCTGAAATGGCCTTATATGGTTTTTACTCGCACAAAGGCACACACTCAGTAACCTCTTTCATCAACTTTCTGCTCACATGTTTACACCTCAAGATAATTATTTGTCAAGGTTGCGAACATTGATGTTTGTTTCTGATCAGCTCAAATGTTTAATTAATTGCTAAAACCACTTCCCCCTGCCCCCATTTCTTTATTTCTATGCAGGTAATTGGAGCCTGTGGGGAGATCAGCAGAGTAAGTTTCCTTTGTGCATTTTTTTAACCACATATATAACCTTTTGTACAGTTTTTCTCATAAACTATTAATTGCGTGAAAATTCATCCTTTTGCATTCTCTTTGAAATTCTTTCAGCTCATGTTCATTTTTTAATAGTGAATGATGAAGTCGAATTTGTAGACAGGTTTGACTATAGATGCAGCAACCCTAGGTTTTTTTTTTTATTTGCTTGTTATTTATTTATTTGTTTATTTACAAGGGCCTATATTTGCAGGAACAATATTAGACATAAGATAATAATTATGGAGATTTCTTCCTTTGATTAGATTTCCCGTTAGATCTGTATTAATATGATTTTGGCATCTAAAGTAAAAGACTACAATCATTTTATTTTGATCATTCATGGCGATCTTTGCATACACCTTCGATTGTAGATATTTTTGTGATTCAGACCCCACCAGACTCTCCACCAACCTCACAGATTTAAAACACCTCTTGCTCAACTTCTACTTTTTTTTTCCTTTAAATTTGACAAAGCACACGCCGAAAAACACAACGTAGATGTTTTTATTTGTAAATTATAGCAATAAACCTAATAAGCAACATTAATTCTGCTAGATGGATTAAATTTTTTTGCATCACACTATCTTTGTGTCTCACCCTCTGACGTGGTCCCATCTTTTACTGTGTTCACGTGAACAGACGAGGACCCAGACAGTGCTGTTGATGACAGGGACAGCGACTACCGCAGTGAGACCAGTAACAGCATCCCACCTCCTTACTACACCACCTCCCAGCCCAACGCTTCCATGCACCAGTATCCCATGAGGCTTCAGCAGCATAGACACTCGTTCACTGATGACGTCCACGAGCTGGACTACGATCACAGGACCATGAGGTAACGAGCTGCTTGAACTACTGCTCAGCTGCTGAAGAAGGTTAATGTGTTCACCAAGAAGGTGGTCAAAGTGTGCAGCCAAAAGAATGTCATAATGTTTGAAATGCAGCGTCATACTCCATTTTAAGGAGGTTATTGCATAATTAGTAAATCCGCTTGAACTTCAAAGAAAACTTTTCTTTTCCTGTGATGTACATGGTGACATGTCCCACTGTGTTCTCCCCCTCTAGAGCTTGCCCCTGGCCTCAGTGTATACAAGCATGCTGGGGCTCAGAGTTCTTGTATACAGGTCATGTATGAAGCGGGTGATCTTTTCTGTGTGTGTGTGTGCATAACTGCATATCTGTTTGCATGTGTGCCTATAAGACACCCCATGTGTTCTTCTGCACAACCTTGTGCAGAAAATAAATTGTTTTCAGGGCACAGCAATCAATAAGAAACAGTTTTTTTAAAGTGACAGAAGATCAAAACTCAATTCTTCCTCAGTAAAATTAAAATTAACAGTTTAACTTTTATTTATGGGGTCAGGCTTAGATGGATAAATTATTCTTCATATTAAAGGTCTTTTCTTAAGTTAAAGGATGGAGGGCTGACAATCTAAACGTTTGTTTTATGTATATTATTATAGTTATGTAGACATAATTACTTTCTAATTCATAGCCTAATACTTGAATGTCCTTTGTCACTTAGGATAGTGATTTCCTCTTAAGTCCCAAGGAAAGGAGTCATTTGAGAAGTAAATTTTGCTATAAAAATCTATACCGTATTTTCCAGCGTATAAGTCACAGTTTTTTGTATTGATTTGTCAGTCCTGCACATTGTACACCAAAGCCACTTATACACATTTTTTTTCTATATTCATAACGCAATTTTTGACTGACTCTTTAAATTTTGAAGAACTACAACTGCAAGTCCACCCATGCGCGCTCGCTTCACTCAGCTGGTGCAGGCGGAGGAATGCTAGAGAGCTAGTGGCTCCGGCCACAATGGATGGATGGATGGATGAATGGATGGCTAGATGGATGGATGGATGGATGGATGGATGGATGGATGGATGGATGGATGGATGG